GGTTGAGACATACAATGCCGTTTTAACACCTAGCTCCAATTATGCAAATACAACCAACACCTGGTTGTGCCAGACAGATAATATGGATTGGAACAACATTCACCATATTTATTCCCAGATAATTTTTGTACAAGTCATTCTGAATTGAGAAAGCTGGTTGGATGACCAGTGAAACATCGTCAAGAAAATTACATAAAGTCCAGTTGCCTTGACTTATTTTTTACAGATACCTATAATAAGCCATTATTCTGCATTGGTAATTGATTTCCTAATAGATCATTACCATGACACACTACTTGATAATGGATAATTATGTTTTGGAAACATTCACAACCTAGTCTGCCCTATATACTGTCAGCAGTCCCCATAAATCCAGCTACAGTCATTTCACTGTAAAGAAGGGCAGAGATTAAACCAAACCAAGACTGCACAGTTCTCTATACCAGGGTCACCATAATTGTATGTAAAGTACACCACATGTCTACTGTTGATGTATTATTATTATTATTATACAGGATTTATATAGCGCTTTACAATAAAAGGAAGACATTACAATCACAATACAATTCAAGACAAGATGGTAAGGAGGGCCCTGCCCATGAGGGCTTACAATCTAAAAGGGAGGGGCAAGTGATATGAGGAGCTAGCTATGTGGGGACGAATTGTTTGAGAATGTGAAGGTTGAGCAGTTAGGTTGAGGTGGGATAGGCTTCCCTGAAGAGGTGAGTCTTCAGGGTACGCTTAAAGGCAGTCATAGTGGGAGATAGGCAGACAGGTTGGGGTAAAGAGTTCCAGAGAATGGCAGAGACTCTAGTGAAGTCCTAGAGGCGAGCATGGGAGGAGTTGACAAGGGAGCTAGAAAGCAGGAGGTCTTAGGAAGAGCGGAGGGGACGGTTAGGATAATACTTTGAGACAAGGTTTGAGATGTAGCCGGGGGCGAAACTGTGGATGGCTTTGTAAGTGGTTGTTAATATTTTGAATTTTATCCTTTGGGTGAATGGAAGCCAGTGTAGGGATTGACAGAGGGGGGATGCAGACACTGAACGGTTGGTTAGGGGAATGAGTCTGGCAGCTGGATTCATTATAGACTGAAGGGGGGATAGCCTGTGTAGTGGAAGGCCAATGAGGAGGGAGGTGCAATAGTCAAGACGAGAGATAACAAGGGAGTGGATGAGTAATTTTGCGGTTTCTTTGGTGAGGAAGGGGCGTATTTTGGAGATGTTACAAAGGTGTGGGGAAGAAAGGTAAGGTTCAAGTCAAGGATGACACCTAGGACCTTGGCATGGGAGGAGGGATGATAGCAGTGTTAACAATCTCCAGGGAAAAGTTGGGGGAAGGTGCACGGGCAGGAGGAAATATCAGTTTTTGAAAGATTGAGTTTTAAGAAGTGTTGCGACATCCAGACCGATATGTCAGTTAGTAGATTAGTGACACGCAAGGACACTGAGGGGGAGAGTTGTGGAGTAGAAAGATATATTTGAGTGTCATCGGCATAGAGATGGTATATGGAAGCCATGTGAGGTTACTAGTTGACCAAGGGAGGAGGTGTAGATAGAGAAGAGAAGGGGTCCAAGGACAGAGCCTTGAGGGACCCCTACAGAAAGAGGAGGGGAGGAGTTAGAGTTGTAGGTGACGCTAAAGGAGCGCTTAGATAGGTAAGAGGAGAACCACAAGAGAGCAGAGTCTTGTAGCCCAAGTGACTGGAGTTTTTTGAGGAGGAGGAGCAGGTGGTCAACAGTATCAAAAGCAGCAGAAAGGTCTAATAGCAAGAGTAAGGAATAGTGGCCTTTGTTTTTAGCTGTTAGTAAGTCATTAGTGAGTTTTAGGAGGGTGGTTTCTGTGGAGTGCCAGATTGTAAGGGGTCGAGAAGGTTGTTATCAGTAAGGTGGCGACTCAGGCGACTGTAGATAAGGTGTTTTAGGAGTTTGGAGGTGAAAGGGAGTAAGGAGATTGGTCTGAGATTGTTGAAGTCGGTAGGTTCCAATGTAGTCCACTCACCTACATATTCATCCATATTGAAAGTCTTCACATATTTGAAGGATAAGTCTCCGCTTTTGTGGTACTCAATAAGTTTTTTGTAGCATCCCAATGGTGTGCTGCCTGTAGGAAGCAAATATAAAAACAGTCTATGAAATGAATCCACATAAAAAAATAATTTTAAAAAATGTAAGTGGTGTTTAAAATCCTGAATAGAAGGCTTTGGATTTTTCCACACAGTCTTGTCTTGAATTGTATTGTAATGTCTTCCTTACATTGTAAAGTGCTGCACAAACTGTTGGCGCTATATAAATCCTGTATAATAATAATACAGGCAGTCCCCGGGTTACGGACAACCCGCACTTACGAACCGAGGTCCCCAGTTCTCCTAAATGTACCGGCGTCTGCGGCTGTGTCCCTTCAAATCCCCGCCTGTGTTGGCGGAAACAGCGGGGACACATACCGCTGCATTCCTCCGCTGCCCCCCGTACCTCTGCTGCTGTCCTGGCCGATTCCTCCTCTTCTGCCGGTCCATCCGCTCCTCTTTTCGAGTCCGTCCGCTCCTCTTACTGCGGTCCGTCCGCTCCGTCTCAATATAGCGCAAGCTGTAGCTCGCGGTATACTGAGCTTAGGGTGACGGGAGGACGCTAGTTTGTGTCCTCCCGTTACCCTAAGGAGAACTATGGGGAAAAGCCCTGACCCCATTGTTCTCCTTTAAAAATGGTTTTCCCTTTGTTATTTTAGGAAACATTTATTTTTACCCAATTTTTTGCTAAAATATAAAAGTCGGGGTCACGTCGGATATATATTGATTGATGGCCCTAAAATTATTGCTCTCATTGCGACGTTGGCGGCGATATGTAACACGTGCGGCATAATTGGAGCAATCGTCGTTTTTGCGTGTAGGCGCACCTAACGCATTTTGCGTATCTATGTGGGGGTGGAGGACTTTAAAACATTTTTGTGGGTTTATTTATTTTGTGAGCAATTTTTTACACTATTTTTTTTTACACTTAACTTTATTGCTATCACATAGGGTGCTAAGAAGTACCCTATGTGATAACAAATTACAGTGACAGGTCCCCTTTATGGAGACATCAGGGGTCTCCAAGACCCCTGTCACGTAGGGACCCCCAGAGAAGCTGATGAAGCACAGATCTGCTTCATCAGCTTCTCTCCGGTTTCTGTACCGGAGAGTGACAGAGGAATATACATCACTTCCTGCATTCAGAGACCGGGAGGAGAGCGGAGTGAGATCGGGTCCTGATCTCCCTCCGTTCTCAGTGGACAGAGAGACATCGCCTGGACCGGATGGACGCCCTGGATCGCGGGGACAGCGACGGTGACCAGAGGTAAGGAGAGGGGCGCACCCTCACTTGTATCATACAAGCGATCGGGGTCTTTACAGTCTAAAGACGCCCACCCCCATCCAGGAGACCCCCGTCCGGCCGTGTTTCAGTGATCGGCGGACGGGAGGTGGTTACATAAAAAGTTTTTTTTATTATATTATAATCTTCTGAACAACAGGAACAGACAGCAAAACAAACGTGACCCTTCCCTATGCTATCCAAAACAAAAAAAATGTTTTTGGGCTGGAGTTACACTTAAAAAATTTACGTGTTCCGACTTACATACAAATTCAACTTAAGTACAAACCTACAGTCCCTATCTTGTATATAACCCGGGGGCCGCCTGTAACAGAAATGTTAACATTTAGCAAGAATGAAAGTGGATATTTCAGAGGAGAAAAAGTAGAGTAGGCAGACAGAGAAGTCATCAAGAAAGTATGAAACCGGTACAGGAGGCAGATAAATCACAGCAAGCCTCAGAGAAACTGGAGAGAAAAGACGAATGCGGTAAGCTTCAAAAGAGAAGAGGGATAGAGAGGGTAGGATGAAGGTGTAGGAAGAACTAGAATAGTGCTTTGTGGAGAGAGAATGATTCCAACTCCCCCTCCTTTTCATCTAATGGAGATTAACAAAGCCAGACATGTTTGGGGATCAGCCTGGCTGACACCAATGAATCCCTCCATGGATACAGTGGAAATTGAGCATAGCCACCCAGGGATATGAAGTGTGTTATTTGCAGGGTTACCTGGTAAAAGTGAAGAGAAAATGCAGCCATCATACTTAAGTCCTGATAAGCTGCAACATATGACATTTTTAGTTCTGGGTTTGTATATGCTTACACTATTCTTATATATGCCAGGAAGTGCATTACTAACACATGCTTGATTTGTAAGACGAAGCAAACACTATGTAGCATTGCAAGCAAAGCCTGCGTAAGTAAAGAGAAAATAGGGCTGCCCCCATACATATATGTCATTCAAACTATACATAACATTTACAAAATAAGATTTACAAAAGCAGATCCCTTTTTTATGCATTTCTAATGTATCATTGATGAAGACAATACACTCCCTTTAAAGCGACTCAGACTCTGTATCTTTTTATTTTAAACTGTACTTTCTTGCGAAAAAGGCCATTGACCCCTCACTTTGTTGGAGAGCTACGACAGATGACCAGTCTCCTGAATCCTCTACACTTCTGGGTGTGCTGGATGCTGGGTCACCCACTGCAATCCGTGGTTTTATTGGAGGGACCCCATAGGGCTAATGTATAAAACATCCACCCAGCTATATGCCATCATTACTGCCGTTAGATGAGCCGTGGAGCATTTCCAGTCTAAACACCAGCCACTCTACCCCTACATGACACAGTAGTGACAAGACAGTAGGTTGTCAGATGGAACCACAGCACACAATGGGGGACCAGGCATCCAACACAGACATGTAGCAGATGCAGAAGACTGTTTGCCAGACGTAGTACTTTAACAAAGACAACATAGGACTTGCAGATCACCAGACAAGTATTAGTGATCTTTTTTTGCAGGGATCTTTGTTCATAAAATAGAAAAGAAATGGCAGCAAAAGAGTCAAATTGTGGAAACAGAGCATCAAAACAAACAAAACACAAATACAACTGACAGAGTATAACCTGTGGGCAATCCGAGAGTGAAGTAATTGTCCGGCCCAGGATTGAACTGGATGATACGATTACATAAGTACTTTGCTGCCCACTCGCTCGCCTGGAAATACTCATCAAGAATAACTAGTCTCATGTTTGTGAAGAGTAGCTCTGTCTGTGCAGCATACGACCATCAATCTGCAATCAGAAAGAACAGAAAAAAGCTGGAAACACACTTATTTTTAGGCAGAATTTACTTAATAGCACATTTCAGTTTTTATGTATCAAAGGTTGGGAAAAAAATCTGGATCTGGTTTATAAGAACTGGAGCAACCAGATTCTTTGTTCCACTGGAAAGAGGAAACCTGAGTGCTGGCTACAAGTAAAAGCTGCACTGCTGCTCTCCTTTTCATAAGTCGTCTTCTGCAGACAACAAAGAAGCACTATTTTCATGCGTCTATTTGTATGCAGCGTAGGAAATGCTGAACCCCACCAAAGTGATGTTTTCTGATGCATCTCTCAATACCCACTTGTTTTCATAGTTTACCTCCCAACTACAACCAACCCCCAACACTATCCCCTCCTAACTACAACCTCCCCCTCCATCTTCTCTGGTGTCAGCGGGCACCTACTGCCATCTGCTGTACTCACTGGCAGAGCCAAGGAGGACTGAATAAACCAGGTCCAAAGATGAATGATATGGGCTGACTATCATTGTTACAGTGTTTCCTGAATAGCAAAGGCAGCACTGATTCTAGATCCTGGAGCTTCTCTTCAAGGTATGCCTTCCCTCTGTGTATTCATTGATATAAACAGTACAAGTGCTCATATGTTTACCATTAGCAACTACAATTTGCAGAGGTGCCTTGGCATGGCTTTACATATAGTTTGTAAATGTACGCAGTAATGTTAATTGAACTGCCCAACCCTTGTACACCTTTCTCTTGCTAATTAAATTCTTTGGCGTGCACCCATTCTTTGGTTTGATGTGGGTCCCGTGGCACACCTGATTGGTGTATCCCGTTAGCTCTTTGCGGGTGATATAGTGAGAAGCAAATTTCACCTCCAGATACAAGTAAAAGTCCATAAACCCATCGCACTCCTGACCGCTTTTTTCATATCAATTAGGTGGGTGCAGTGGCAGTCGACAGATGGCAACCGCCTTGTACACAAGCAGAAATAGGGACACCGGCACTCCAGATGCAGATGAAATGTGTCTATTTACTAACGTGAATGCAGCATATCACACTGGTGCAAAGTTTCGGGGTCTCGCAGGATCCCCTTTCTCAGGGAGAACATGTTTTGCCAGTGTCCCTATTTCTACTACTGCCAGTTAAAAGTCACCAGCACACCATCATCTTCATCATCAAAAACCCCTTTATCAATCCCTTTACCACGCAGGTTCCAGTCATCAGGCAATGTGATGATCATGTTTTTTGTTTGTTCACTTTAAACTTTGTTTATTGCTTTAAGTTCATATTGTTGCTTACGGCTCATTCTCACTGGTGTGCTGTAGGTACATTACAGGAAGTTGGCTCTTGTTAGACATGCAGACGAGAGGGGCCCGCTTCTTCTTCCAGGTCACCGAGAGCTTTTTACTGCTGTCTGTATCCTCATTAGGAAGATTTCATTTCACTTCCTGTCCTTGAGACAACAGGAAGTGAAAGGAAGTCTACCCCCAGGAAGGGAAAGAGTGATCAAGGGAAAAAGATGTCTCCACTGAAGCTTTATCACCAATCCCTGTTTCCACGACAACCCAAAATTTTCAAAATCCAATTGTCACAGGGACAGAAAGTGAGGTGAAATCTTCTGAACAGGGGCACACATAGCAAAACAAACGTTACAGGGGGTTAACCCTTCCCTATGCTATCCAAAACAAATACAAAAAATTGTGTCTGGAGTTACACTTGTTACCTGTTCCAACTTACATACAAATTCAACTTAAGAACAAACCTACAGACCCTATCGTGTTTGTAACCCGGGGACTGCCTGTACACACATTGCTGTGCAGGATAAAACACACCTTATGGTGTGTCAATGCAACATACTGGTGTGACTGGGCCCTTAATGGACCTGTTTCCAATAAATCTACCCAGGGATCGGTAGTTCTTTTTACCTGAGAAAGACAGCCGTGGAAACATCTGCCTATTGTATGTAGTGTAGCATTGTATGCTCCATGCACAGCTTACATCTTCCTGCTTGCTGGAGATTCTCCATGCACCCGGGCTAGTCAGAAACACGCTATAGTCACACTTCTGTATTTGTGTGTGATTTCTAGCAAAATGGTACATAGAGATGTATGGTAACACATGTGTAACATGTGCTGCATGAAAAGTCCAGAAGTGTGTACAGACCCTTAAAGTAATACTGTCCCCTTGTACATGCAAGGCAGTGACTCTGGACAGAACCCCCTTTACCTGCACTCCCTTGCAGCTCCTTGCTCCTCTGCAGCCAGGGTTAAAAACACCTGTGTTGGCAGCCTTGGGGGAGTTTGTGATGTCACTCTTCCAATCATGTGACAGTACTTAAGACTTGTCTGGGCACACTTACAGGGAAGCGGGTCACATGTTCTCCCATACCCAGAAGGGCAGGTCAGTTGAATATCGGGGGGGGGTCAGGGGATTTTCTTTGCAGACACATTGTCACTTTGTCCTGCATGGGCAAGATAACAGTATCACTTTAAAGTGACACTACACTCAGGAGCTAAATCTTAAAGATGCATTCAAGTACCCTATGTTGTAAAGTAGTCACAGCTCCAAGCTCACTCCTGTGATGGACTACAATCTCATGTTACGTTTACTCATTTGTATCGAGATACTAGTCCATCACGGGAGTGAGCTTGGAGCAGTGGCTACTTTACAACACACACAGGGACCATGGGGAACAGAGGAAGCCACCCTCCAGAAGGAAGAACAGTGTCAGCACCAATTCAAAGATGATTTGAGGATCTGCAGCCGAGTGATACACAAATAAGTTACATTTTTATTAGTAGTTAGGGTGCTTGAATGTATTTTTAAGATTTAACTCCTGAGTTTAGTGTCACTTTAAGACCGCTGCAGTCCAACCTTCACCTAAGCACTGCCATTTAGGACCATGATCCCCAATCTTCTATAGTCGCCAAAAGATTGGAAGATTTCTCCCCAGATATTGTCTGATAAGAGGAATTCTGCTGAGGCACAATTTGGCTCTGTCACACTTGACGTGGGCAGAAAAAATAGTTCTCCATAACGCTAAAGCATATCCGCACCCCATAAATCTCTGAAGTCTAAAGATCTCCACACACACACGTTACAATCTAACTACACAATCTCCTTTAGATCTACCAACAACTATGTAGTACAAGGGCCTGCCTGATGGGATGGGTTAGGAAGGTACACATATTACATAGCTGTGCTAAATCTAAAGTTGATTGTTCACAGATTGTACAGTTGGATTGTAACCTGCATGGTGACCCTAAGAGGATCGCTATCATATTCCTGCTACATGTGCTAAAAGGAAACCCGACATCAGAGGTACATTGAGGGGAATTTATCAAAACTGGAGCAGACAAAAATTGGACCCGCTGCCCACGGCAACCAATCAACTTCTCGCCTTAATTTTCAAGGTTTAACTGAGCAACCCAAAAAGAGAAGATCATTGGTTGCCGTTGGCAGCGGCTCCAGTTTTTATGAATTCCTCTCCCTCCCCCACTGAGTCTGAGACTCTGCTGACCTATTCCTTGGCTTTCATGATTGTCCTCTGGCTTCAGTCACTGACCCAGCTGAATATTGTACATGATGTCTTTTATGTTTATGAATTGTTTATTTTTCAGGACAAGCTTCTAGAGGACTGTGCTTTGCATATGAGGTCCGAGCACTGTGAATCATGGGAAGGGCTGACAAGCAGCGGCAGTCATCAGAGGTCTGCAATGCCAGTATTAGAACAATGAACAATAACATGCTTACAGTGGGCCTCATTACCTCCACTACATTTACCTCGATCTGTCTCACCTATGTGAAGACGACAACAGCAGAACCCTGATCTGTGTGCTCACTGTACATGTATCCGGGTATTGCCCCAGATAACAGGACGAAGAATAACCACTGTGGTGCCACAGACAGACAAGTGACAGTGCACGGTGACCGCTCACTACCAGGAGACACCCCTCCTACTGTCAGCGCCATAACCCAGAGGGATCCCCAGAACTGGACAACTCGCTCAGCTCTCCCCATACCTGCAGCTTTGACTGCAGACTCTCCAGCAGCGGGTCACCTGACAGCTATCACATGACCTCGCCTGTCCAAGCTCTGCTTGTCACTCTACGCTAAGCGTGCCGTTACGTCTTCAGAACGTCCGACGCAACTTGGATGCGCTTTGGTTGGCGGAAGTGTTGGATAAACTACAGGTAATAGTAGTCATATGTCGCCATCGTGTGGTAAAATGTATAACTCCAGCTTTATAATACAGGAATGTTGTGCTGGGGGGGACTGAAGAGCTGTTTGGGGCAAGCAGGGCTAACAGGCTCCTGGAGGGCAAGTGGTCACTGGTTCTGAGGTCTTCCACTCCGCTCAGCCACTTATATTTTAGATCTCCTCTATGGCTGGGGACTTTGCAAGTAATAAAGGCAGCCTTATCCTTCTTCCTGTCTATGGTCATGTGATACCAGTCCGCCTTTATTCCCAGTTCTGATTGCACTGTAGCACGGAGCTGGCAACAAGGGGGGCACTGCTATACACCTGGGGAGGCAATTAAATGTCAGTGCTAGAATAAAACACAGACTGACACCCTACACAACGTCCTGGTTCTTGCTCTGATTCTCGCTTTGACAGTTACTGCCCAAGTGTTACGTGTTAGCCAGGTCCCTGAGATGTGAGGACTACAGAGGCAGGGCAGCCTTTAGAAATTTCAGGGCCCCTTACACGGCTTTAGGTTTAGTTGCGCGCCAGACGCTGGGCTTAGTTGCGCGCCGGACTTGCGACGCAAAATCAATTTATTTATCTCAAAGTGCCAACACTGAAAATAACTTTAGTATTGCGTTGCAGTTTGGGCGCTCGGGTTTACAAAGTGTTCAGCATCATCACCGCCTCAGACAAAATAGGGAAACACACATATTCAAATATTTATACACTCATTAACCACTTGCTGCCCGCAGCAATTTCTTACATTTGCACACACATGATAAAATCT